AATTAAAAAGAAGCTTCCAAACAAAGGAAATCCGCGGAAAACTCAGAAATCGTTATCTCGGAAGAATGGAACAAACGTCGATTACACGATCGTCCGAGTTAAGCACAAAACCGCGAAAAACCGCAACCACCGTAAATCGCGAGTTAGTTCGGCCGAACTAGCTCGCCGTACAGCGAGCTAGATGCTTCCCAGATAGCTCGTCGTACAGCGAGCTGAACCGGTCCGGTTCGGTTCATCGTACGTCGAGCCGACCATCCTGAGCCTCGATCTCCCATGTCCTCGATTCAAGGCATACGTCCTTCGGTACGATCGTGTTCTAAACCACAGTCAGAATTTCTCTTGTTTCGTCTCGATCCGTCTTATTGTTCGAGTTTTACGATAAGAACCGTAAAGTCTTGTTTTCTCAAAAGAACTCAACGAAATCGTATAAAATGGCAACGGTTAACAAAACACCGAACATTTCCTAAACTATACGATTTACTCGATATTTTTCGTGAGAAATCGTAAAAAATGCGTTTTTAATAAAAGTGTCGAGTGAATCGTAGAAAACAACAACGATTAACCGAAACATCAAACATTGCAAACTTTACGATTAACTCGAGAAACTTACTTAAAAACGGCATCGCATCAGAAAACGATCTCATATAAAGTCGTTAAACAGTTTCTTATCGCTAAACGATTCGGAAAGTCCTAAAACGCGATAAAAGCCCACTCGCAACTTTAACGAAATCTAACCCGAAGATACGACGACATTTTGACGATTTACTCATAGGAAAGAAGATAAATGTCAAATTTGAAGATAAATGGCAAGTTTGAAGATAAATAGAAGATTTCCGCGGGAAAAAAGGAAAAATCGAGATAAATGGAAGATTCTCAATAAACTCGACTCCAGACGAAATGGAAAGACTAAACCGCCTAGGAAGGGAGTATATAAGCAAGAGGCATAGGGAAGAAGCAGGGGACGAGTTTTCAGAGTTTTCACCACCAAACTTAGCATTTAGGAATATTTCCGTTTTTGTTATCGAGCTGCGTCTCAACTAGGGTTTTCGGTCTTAGACTACTAGAGTTAGGAATTTCGCTGACGTCTCACACAGCTAAGGCCATTCTCGTTGTAACCGTTCTTATGCAGATTCGGAATAAGATCCTTCTTGCTCTCAATGTTGTTACTCATACTTTAATTTCGCATTCATCGTTTTCTTAATTGTTCTTGTGCGGTTCCGCAGATAGCCGGGTCCTCTGAGAACTTAGGGTTTACTCAAAGTTCCCTTATTTACGATTCATTGACAGTAGGTGAATTTTGGTTCCCACACCAATCTTGATCAATAATCTTGCATTAAAAGCAGATTTTGAATTAAGAGAGAACTTAGAAGAGAGAAAAGATATGAACTAAATTTTCCCTGCAGATCCAGATACTTATTTGAGTTTCCTTGCATCCTGTGATCGATACTCCCAAGGTAAAGCCTGTACTTTTATTTTATGCAAAGAAATGAGGTTAGTTGAGGGGAATGTTAGATAATATTTGCTAAGTGGTTGGTTAGATGAATATGGTTGCTAAGCTAGGATATTGCATAATGAACTTATGTGATTAGAATGTTTTAGATGTGGATTGCAATATTATAGAGGTTATGATTTCAAAAGTTTTTAAATCTGTGAGTCCCTATTCTTTTCAAACCTCTTTCAGAGAGACTACCTGTTTGTTTTTGCTTGAGAACAAGCAAAAAGGTAAGTCTGAGGAAGGTTATATACCATGATTTTGACCCATTTTTATTCATGGTATATTGGTGTTTTTACTACTATTTACTATACTATAGAAGCTTTTAAGCATATTTATGAGTTCAGAAGTATTTTGGAAGAAAGTGATGTTTTTGAGCATTTTGGAGAGAATTTGAAAAAGCGTTTGATTCACAATCGTTCACGAGGTCGACACAGAGAAACTCGGATCGATCGACATGCATCCTGCATGATCGATCAATTATCAAGACCCATAAGCCAATTCGAGAGACAAGTTAACTTGAAGCCTACTCATCAAAAATGACGATTTTACCCTGATGAGTTTTAACCTAAGTTTATATACACTGCCAAAGTGTTAAAGACAGAGAGAGATAGTTTTTGTAATCTTTTCACAGCAAAAAGTTTAGGGTTTATAGTTTGGAGATAAGATCATCAAAGATATTTGAGATTGGAACTCCAGTGTTTTCTCTCTATCTATCTATTTATAATATGCAGTTTATTTATCTATTTGTGTTATGAATTGCTTGGCTATGTCTGAGTAAGATTTGAGATTTTAGTTAGTTTGGAGAGAAGATCATCAAAGAGATTTGCGATTGGAACTCTAGTGTTTTCTACCTATCTATATATTTATAATATGCAGTTTTATTTATCTATTTGTGTTATGATTTGCTTGGCTATGTCTGAGTAGTTTACTTGTTAGATTTAGGGTTTAAATAGGTTAGAGAGATTAGCCCCAACTATACGATTCCTAGTTGTGATACTTATTAATAGGATTTTCTTATTGCTCGTGGTTCTAGAGTAGCTAACTAGAAACATTGAATCCTGGATTACTTAGGTTGGATTAGAGATATTTAAACAATTCTGATAGTCCTGAACACATCCCTATTAAGCTAATATTGTTAGAAATATAATGATAGTCTGATTTAGAAGTCTTTAGTGAGTTTATGTTAACTCGTGTGTATTGCTTGACCGAACTCATCGATCGATATCCATAAAATAATTGATCGACACTGTCAATTGTGACCTTCCAGTCATTAGGCTTATTTATTTGAAAAATAGTTTAAATAATTTGTTAATCAAGATAATTAATGCTCTATAGTATCTCGCAAGCAACTGAATAGCATCCTATAGGATTATAATCCCAGTACATGAATAAAAACCATAAGTCTAGCATCTTTTCCATTTTAGTTTCAAGAGTCTTTGTTTCCATTTTCGATTAAGTAATTGTCTTGCTTGATCGGAATATTTCTTGTTTACTTATTTACTGTTTCTGCTATTTATATATTCACCTAGATTGTTACTTGACTAGCTTTATTAGGTTCCCTAGCTCCTTATGGATTCGATCCTTAAGTACTGCAGCTGAACCTCTTATTTGAGAGAGTAATTCACTCCTTAAGGTAATTTGAGTGATATCAGTAGGAAAAACAGAGGATGTAGTATTCCTGCCTTGGGACTGCAAGTATGAATCCCATACTACCATCTTCGTCATTTCCAGCGCCTGCTTTTACAGACACAGTCTGATCTTTCTAGCTTATAAGGCAACATGGATTGGTTTGATTTGGATAAGGTGAAATCGAAATTGGATTTGAAAGCATAGAATTGGAGACTCATACTTGACCAGCAAAACTTCCTTCATATCTTCTCTGTGGTGTGGGTAATGAAGAAGAAGAAGCCGATGGAGACACATTGTATTCCTCCGTTACGGCGTCTTCTCTTTTTTATGTAAGTTATTTTCCTTTTTTTTTATTTTAATATTTTTTTTAAACTAATCCTATGTGACAATATAATTGTCTTAAGGATTGAGGTGAATTCACCTCACCACATGGGGTGAACCAAGTTTTATTCATTTATCTATTATCTTTATTTAAATTGTGTCATTTTAGTTTCTTTCCTAGATCCCAAATCGGGTTGGCAGAGATTTCTATGGGAAGATGATCTATTTCCATATCAGAACTATCATATAGAAATAAATGTATGTGATCTTTCAATCTTGTACCATTTAAGTATAACAACTTATTTCCACACACGATAAAAGTTTGAAATCAGTTTCCACATACCAAAAATTGGCTTGATTAAGTTGGTTTATGACATGAACCGATAGTAAACCAGTTCGTATCAATACAACCTGAACCAAACGAACATTCGACTAAGGATCGGTTTGTTCCCCCTCTTCATCATCATTTGTCTCTGGATACAAATTATGCTTCACTAGAGGTTCAACAAAATTCAAGGCTTCTTTCTCAATGTTGTAGTTGCTAATCTTCACCATCAGAATCAAAACCAGGAGAATCAGGAGTCCTTGGATAAAAATCAGGTACATTATTCCACTCAACAATCACATCATTCCATGATTCCATTATCGATTTCTTCTAAACAGAGCGACACATATTCAATATCAGAGAGAGAGAGACAAAGAGACAGTACAATAACGGCAAACAAAGAGAGAGACATAGACAGATCGACAAATGATTTACCTGACTGAAGCCAAGCTGAGGAGCAACGACGTTCTTTGCGAACGAAAGAGTAATGATTTACGTTTTTACGGTTTTGAGTTTTACTTAAGTCGGATCTTTGGTATCCAATTGTTAGGTTGGTTTACTCTGGTTTATATTTTCTAATCATGTTGTAATCGGATTATTTTTGGTTTAGTTAAGTTAATTATCGGTTAAATTTAAGATTTAGGGAACACTAACCAATTTTAAATTGTTATTTATTGGTATTATTCCGTCTTTCAAAATTTAGGAGAAAATGGGTTTCAAACTTTTATAGTATATAAAATTGGTTGATATATTTAATGATGTCAATTACGATGAAGTTAAAAGATCATGTACATTTATTATGATAGTTCCGAAAATAGGTCGTCTTTCCAGTTTCTATCGTTAAAATCCAGCTCTGTAATGAACATCTTGAAATGGACTTTCTCTCTTGAAGCCTTTTTTCTTTATAAAACCCATTAGCTTCTCAAAAAAAAAAATGCAGTAATCATCAGTAAGGGTTACGGAGATATTTATATAAACATGTGGTGCTGAGGGTATGAGCACAATCTATAGACAAATGCCACCTGCCTACATTATTCATGGTGTTTTATTTTATTTTTGTCTACATATTCATGGTTTGGTATCTTGATTTTGTGCCAAGTTCAATTATATATACAGTGAGGGAGACACATGTAATAATGTAACACTAAAAACGTGGTTCTTGTCAACGTGCACCAAGCAATTTATTGTCATGACCAACTCCATTCTTGTTCTTACAAAATAAATAAAACTCGAAAAGCGCAAGATAACATTTATATTTTTCGAGTTTCCGGAATATTGTTGACACCAATCATCAAAACATTTATCTTTTTCACTTTTGGTAATTACAAAGATCATTTCGTTTCCCCTAAAAGGCATTTAGAAACTAAAAAGAGAATGAGATTGACTCTTAAGCTAATAGCTCTGCTTCTACTCGCCCTGAGTCACCATGCTGAATCTGGCTCCATCCTCAAGTCCCTACCGGGGTTTGAAGGCCCCCTTCCTTTCGAACTTGAAACCGGGTTTGTAAATCATCGCTTCTTCTTTGCATTGGTATTGTGAGCTTGGAGTTAGTATTTAGTCATTCTTCTTGATGTAGATACATTGGTGTTGGTGATGAAGAGGACCTACAAATGTTCTACTATTTCGTTAAGTCTGAGAATAATCCGCAAGAAGACCCTCTTCTTATTTGGTTAACCGGAGGACCTGGATGCTCTTCTCTTTTCGCCATTCTTTTCGAGAACGGTATAAAACTCTTTCTCAAAACATTATTTTCAGTGATGAAGTGAGAAAAATACATGTATAGGGCCTTTGGCTTTGAAGTTCGAGCTTTACAATGGAAGTCTCCCTTCTTTGGTCACTACCTCATATTCATGGACAAAGGTGCCAGAAAGTATCCATATGTTGGTCACAAAACCGAGTAATATTTTCTTGATCTTTCTGAAATTTTGGATTCAGATGGCCAACATAATATTCTTGGATCAGCCTGTTGGTGCTGGCTTCTCCTACTCAAGAAGTCCATTTCTTAATAAAGTTAGTGACACAGGTGAAGTGAAGATCATCCATGAGTTCCTTCAAAAGGTAATAATATTAGTAGACTAAAACTTAATTGTTTTTTTTTGTAAGTATTTGTCTTGGCGCATTAAAGTTTTGTTGTTGTTTTTTGGGAATTTTTTGGCAGTGGCTAAGCAAGCATCCAGAGTTTTTGTCCAACCCATTTTACGTTGCCGGAGATTCTTATTCCGGTAAGATTGGTCCGCCACTCGTACAAGAAATATCAAGAGGTATATAAATTTTACCTATTCATATATATTAATCAGTCCCAAAACTTTTTGAATATTCTGTAATCGATTTTCTGTTTAATCAATTTTTCTCTAACTTTATAACAATATAGACACAATGATGCAGGAAATTATGTATGTTGCAAACCTCCAATAAATATTCAGGTCACTAATATTAATTAATTTCTTCCAATATTATGTATACATTTTTTTTAAAAAAGAGCATTACTATTTATATATACTTTTTGAAAAGTTAAAGATTGTGACAATTGTAAATTTTTCTTTTTACAAAAGGGTTATATCCTCGGAAACCCTATAACAGATATTAAATGGGAGGACAACTATAAAATTCCATATGCTCATGGAATGGCATTAATCTCGGATGAACTCTATGAGGTATAGGGTATATATGGCATTGCTTAGTTTTATATTTTTATCCTTAAAAGCATCGTCAACTTCTCTAACTCTCGCATGATATACATTAATGTTCGAAACTTTTTTTAGCAGTCACTGAAAAGAATCTGCAAAGGAAATTATGGAAATGTGAGTTCGCGTACCACAGAATGCTTGGAACATATTGAAATTTACAACAAGGTACACATCCCAGAAAGACTGTAAAGTAAGTAATGTTCAGTATTCTATCGGGTAATAGTAGGGGTAAGCACAAGCCGAATACTCGATATTTTTGGTATACTTAGTACTCGGCTTGATTTGTACGAGTAATCAAAAATGGTTTTTTAAAACAAATATTTGCAGTTTTAAGTACTTACAATTTTAAGTACTTGCAAAAAATTGACGGACTTGTAAGTTACTTAGCTTGTTTTATTACTTGTTATTTGTAAATTACTTATAATTTTAAATTATTGATAAATTATTTGATAATTCATTGAAATTTAAAATTAAATAACTTTATTATAAATAAATAATATGTCATTGTTTTCTTGTAAATCATTCGGGAAGTAGACTATATAAAAAAAAGAAAATTTTAAGATGTTTATATAAATATAGCACTTATGTTTGATGTATTGATATAAATAGAAATAGATTATTTTACTATGATTTAGGAAAATATATCTTTATTTATTAACAAACACAAGTAACAAAAAAAAAATCATTAATTTATTTAATATTTGGTTATTTATATTTATAAATAGTTTATTTTTGGTTATTTATATTTATACATATCAAGTAACGAATAAGAGACAAATAACAAGTAGCTGTGGTTACCAATAAACACATAAATTTAAAAAAACTAATAAAATAGATATATGTATTTAATAAACTAAATAATATATAATAAATAATAGAACAAATAAATGATAACAAGTAACAAACCAAATAATAAGCCAAATAATTAAAAATAAAAATGAACTTAATACTTTACTTGTACTTACGAGAATTAAAACTGAGTATGAAGTATTTATGTCGAACCCTAGATAATAGTCACTGCTAATTCAGTTTCTTGGTTGATTCACAGTGTACTGAGAAACTATACACAGACCATATACTGTTACCAGATTGTGATATGACATCTCCGGATTGCTTTGTAAGTCATACATCTTTCACTCATCTAGTCACCGAGTAAAAATGATTGGCAGGAATATTTTAGGGAAAGTCATATATTTAAACAAATGTTCGCTTACAACACAGACTACAGAGTAACAATGATCTATGTATACATCCGTTTGGTGTTCATTTTTACCCCTTGACAGTGAAACCATATAGAAAAAATACTTGTACGACTACTATATGATGATTTGTATTATTATTTACTCTTAACAAAATTTTAATTAGTTTATGATCAAAATATGTAATCTACATTCTTTTTAGCTATTAAACTAAGATGAAACCATTAGTAAATTTCTGTGTGGACATAGTTCACACATACATGTGACTTTTATGACATTTCAAAGAAACATAGTTACAAGGTGGCCTTTGCAGCTATATAGATACTTTCTCCTAAGCAAGTGGGCTAACAACGAGAGAGTTCGCAGAGCTCTCCAAGTCACTAAGGTGTGTACCGATATATTAATATGTTATGAAATAATGAAAAGTTTTTAAATCTAAAGGATGTGTCTATGTTCACAGGGAAGTATAGGTGAATGGAGGCGATGTAATTATGATGTCATTCCGTATAACTACGACATTCAAAGCACCGTACCATTCCATATGAATAACAGCATTAGTGGCTTTAGATCTCTTATCTACAGGTAAGAGTTAAATCTGTTTTCTTCACTCCATTCACTCTTACGCACAAAAATACATTCAAGAGATTATAAGATTTGTGCGGTTTATGGTGATAAGTGGTGATCATGATATGGTGGTGCCTTTCATTGCAACTCAAGCATGGATAAGGTTTCTCAATTACTCCATCGTTGATGACTGGAGGCCTTGGATGGTCAACGATCAAATCGCTGGGTTTGTCTCTCTAATTTGATTTTACATTTTCTTAATTTATCTTTGTTTTTTCTATATTTGCTTTTTTTTTTCTTTGTATCAGATATACGAGAAGTTATGCCAATAAGATGACATTTGCGACTATCAAAGCGAGTGTTCTTGTGTCAACTTAACTTTTGTGAATTCACCTGTATAATTCTCATTACAATGAAATTGTCTATTAATTACTTTGAACTTTTCCGTTACAGGGAGGTGGACACACGGCAGAATATAAACCAAACGAGACATTCGTCATGTTCCAAAGGTGGATCAGTGGCCAGCCTTTGTAATAGAGGCTCATGGCCTTGCGGTATTATTATAGACCAGTATTATATCCTCGTGAGCACGGATCAAATTTCTTCTTCGAAAATTTGATGATTTCTTGGAACCATCTACAATGGTAAACTACAACAACAAACAGCAAAATAAAAATGCACAATAATATTTTATTTAGTTAAACATGAAAAAGGATAAATGTAAACGCATATGAACATGTTTTTCAAACAATTCAAATACAGATATATGAAAGTATCTACTTTGTTAATCAAAGACTTGAATATACTTTATTACCTTTGTTGCTGGTGAATTTTTAAGTTTCCATTCTGTGATTGAAGACGTAAACTATGATTCAAGTAACATCTTCAACCCTACCATCTTCAATCCTAAACATACAAAACAAAATCAAATATCTGTCTATAGATTTTAGCTATTGCAGTTAAATATCTGAAAAACAAAAGAATGAAGAAAATTTGACAGAGAAAAAAAGACAAAGAAAGAATAAATTAATAGATAGAAAATTATATAGGAAACAGTTTGAAACTCTTTTTGGTCTAAAGAGTTTGAAACTTTTAAACGTGGGTTAAATATTTTTGAGAAAATTTAGGAATGTATAAATTATTTGGGATTGTAGAAAAACTAGGGATCGAATTGCATGTTTTCAATTACTTTTTTTTTGGAAAATAGAACACGTGTCAAATTTTGACTTCTTAAATAATTTGTACTTTAGTATATAAGTGATATCTATATTATTATTTGCGAAGTGATTTTTCGCAATGGAACTCTCACGTTAAAAGTTGGAGTGGTTAATATCGTTTATGCCCTTACGAAAAAACTATATAAATTAGACAGAAAATAAAAACGAAATTTATTTTTTTAATTATATAATTGATTAAATTAATAATAGTGAGAATTATCCAAAATTTTAAAATATATGTTAAAATAAATTATAATTTCTATTTATATTTTGTTGTTATCCTAAAATAAGTTAGAGTGATTAATATTGTTCATCAACTTAATGAATTTTATATAATTTATTATATAATAAAAAAAAATTATAATAATAATATCAGATTTATATGTTATATTAGATTATTGATTATAAATTAATATGATAATTTTCAAAATAAATACATATTACAAAAATAAGATAATTCTTATAGATATGGTGTTGTTATCTTGAAGTAATATTTTTTCTATTACAAAAATTAAAATTCGATTATAAATTAATATGATAATAGTCAAAATAAATACATATTACAAAAACAAGATAACTTTTATAGATATTGTCTTGTTATCTAAAATTAATATTATTTTATTATGAAAAATAAAAATAAAAATATAAAATAATCTAAATCTATACTATTATTTGAGAAGTAAATTTGCTTAGTTGTCATGTTCTCCATAAATTTAGGTACTTTTTTATTTATCATATTTTTAATATTTATATATAATTTATTTAAAATAAAACGAATTTATATGATATATTATATTTTTTAAAAATAATATAATTTTTGTGATTTATGTTGTTATCTTGAACTAAATTTTTATATATAAACTTAAAGTTTAAATTAAGATATAAAAATTATTATATTTATTATATAACTAAAACAAATTTGTATTAATAATTTTATATGTTTATAAAATAATATAATTCTTATGTATTATGTTGTTATGTTGAAATTATAATTTCCTATTATAAAATTTAAAATTAAGATATAAAAATTATATTATTAATAATTAAATTTAAATCATCAAAAAACTATTTGAAAAGTGAATTTGTTGATTTGTCAACTTCTCCATGATCCTAGGTAATTTTGTTTACTTATCATAATTTCTTTAATTTTGTTTTGTTATTGATCATATAATTAAAACTAATTTATTTTAAGAATATGATATTTTAGAAAATAAGTTAATTCTTATATATTATGTTGTTATCTTGAAAATATTTGATGGTTTGATGGTTTGTGAATTTAATGTTTGATGGTTTGTCATATTTTCCATGATTTTAGGTAACTTTGATAATTATCATAATTTATAGAATTTTATATATAATTTATTATATATTTAAAACAAATTTATTTAAGTAGTATCAGATTTTTAGAAAATAAGACACTTCTTATGTATTATGTTGTTGTCTTGAAAATATATTTTTCTATTAGAAATTTAAAATTACAGTTTAAAAAGTTGTAATTATTCTATACTTAAAATAAATTTACACTAATAATATTATATTTTTAGAAAATAAGGTAATTGAAAATATATTTTTATATTATATAATATAAAAGTAAATTAAAAAATTATCTATTATTAATTAAATATAAATCATCACTCAAAGCAAAGTTAAGAAGTGAATTTGTTGATTTGTTAAGTTCTCCACGATTTAAGTAATTGTAATCATATGTCATCATTTCTATAATCTTATATAATTATTATATAATTAAAACGAATTTTTCATATTATATTTTTAGAAAATAAATAACTTATGCATTATATTTTATTTTCATCTGAAAATATTTTTTCTATTATAAAATTTAAAATTAAGATATAAGAAATTATAATTAAATATAAATTAAGTAAAAATATTTGGATAAATATTATAGTTAAATATAAATCAATTAAATAGTACTTAATCAATAACATTTGTATAATGATATTTTCTAAAATATTTCTAATATGTGAGTTTTTAATTTAAATTTCAACCTAAAATATATGGGCACAATATATATTTCGATAAAAAAATTATCATATACAAATAATTTGATTTTTTTTTACATCAATGTACAAATAATTTGATTTACACTTTTTGAGAACATAAATAATATTTATTTTTGAGAAAGCATAAATAATAATTTATCATTTTTATTGGTATTGGTAAGAGTATTATGCCCGCATGGCGGGCACACCACCTAGTATGAACGTAAATACGAATTTTAGCTTCTAGGAGTTGAAGATTCAGAGATTTATTGTTTGTGATTTTTTATTTAGTTTTTGGTTTTTATTTTGAAAAAGTCAAAAAACCTGAACTTTCAAATTTAAGCAAAAAAAAAAAAGTTTTAATTTAGGGTGAGCAAAAAAAGCTCCAACTTTTTTTTAAATAACCAACTTAAATCTTAAGTTTTGTTGATTGACCGAATTAGAAACTTGATTAAATCAACAGTTAACTTGTTAAAAGGCTATCAAATCACAAAACGACGTCGTTTTGAAAATTAATTCACAATTAACAAAACGACGATGTTTTGTATATGTTCTATTTTTTCTTAATCTAGAGAATTGAGAGACTATAGAATTAGAGTTTTTTAATTTGAGATTCTACTTTTTTATGTATCATTACAGGAAAAGGAAAAAAGAGAAGATTAAAAAAAATAGAACATATACAAAACGACGTCGTTTTGTTAATTGTGAATCAATTTTTAAAACGACGTCGTTTTGTGACTTAACGGCCGTTTAACAAATTAACTGTTGACTTTATCAAGTTTCTAATTCGGGTAGTTAACAAAAATATGAGATTTAAATTGGCTATTTTAAAAAAATGGAGCTTCTTTTTGCTCAAACCTAAGTTGAAGTTTTTTTTTAGCTAAATTTGAAAATTCAGACTTTTTTTGGCCGTTTCTCTTTTTGTTTTTTCTAAAATTCATTTTTTATCAAATTTTTTATCTTTTAGTTTTTGTTTTTGTAAAAACTATTTTTTATTAATCAAGTTCTTAAACAAATAGATTCCTAAAATTAAGGGAAACTATTTTTTTTAATTTTTAACCAATTTGTAGAAAAACACCAAAAATCAATTTTGTGGATTTTAAATACAAAGACAAATTTTATTTCTTTTTTAGCAAATCTATATTTTAATTAAATAAATAATATTTTCATAAAGATAAAGTGCTCATACAAATTTTTGATAATATATCATTTAAATTTTAATGTAAAATAATTTATTTATGTTTCATATATGTAAGTAAATATGGTATTTATATATGATATTAATTACTTTTTAACAATTAGTTATTAATTTCTATTTAAATTATTGAATAATTGTAATGATTATTATTAAACACACTAAACAATAAAAAGTAATTATAATAAATTATTTTATCAATAAAATATATTATATTAATTTGAAAATAGCCACTCAAGTTCTAAAAGTAAGAAAAAGCATATAAGAAAATTTATAAATAGTTTCAAAATTTCATAATATTTTAATTTTATATAATTTATATATTTTAAATTTTTATTTTAAATAGTACTTATAAATAAAATAATTTTAATATGTTATATTTTACTATTTTAATAAATTTTAATAGTAACTTGTATTTTTTTGCAAAAAAAAAACTTTTAAATTTTTTGTTGCTTTTTGTTTTATTATTTTAAAATAATGTATTTATTATTCTTTGCAAATAAAAATATAGCAAAACCAAAAATAAAATCTAAAAACTAAAATCGAAAACCAAAAGCTGAAAATCAAAAACAAAAACTAAAAACTAAAAATCAAAATCTAAAACCAAATGTAAAAAAAAATCTAAAAACTAATGTAAACAATCACCACCTCAAACTTTACCTCATCCATACATTATTTACAAAAGAAAAGTAGTGGGAAGTTTATTACCAGAGCCAGGCTGAGTTGTTTGGGTCTCTATACAAAAAAAAATTGTTGATTTATTATAAACGGTTGAAATTTATATTACAATTTGTATTAAATATAAACTTAATCTAAATTAATATTTATATACATAGATATTGCAACTGTTTTTCAAAAATCGGGGACTTCATGAAGTGAGAACCCTATTCAATTGTTTCAAAACAATTGGGTACATGATTCATACTTGGTTTCGTTTTTATTTCTTTCAATAGTACTATGGTTTTGACTGCTAGATCACTAGCATAAATATAATGTTCTGTTACAATAAGATTTAGAGAAATATTTACCAAAAATTAATGTTTTTCAAATGCTCTTTGATTGTTCTTATATAAAGTTTTTAGTAGAGTATTTACATTTCTAATCTATAAAATGAAGAAAACATAAATCCTTTATTTTATTTAATAATATCATAAAATAATGTTTATATCTAAAAGTAGATTTATATTTTAAGATAGATTTACAATTAATATTTTTTAAAGTATTTCACATTTAAAATGTAATATAATAAAATTATATTTTAAATATGAAATATTTCTTTTAACATAGAAAACTATTTTTTTAGTTTATTTTAAAAATAGAAAT